AGCGCTCAACGCCGCCAGTCCAGCAGGCGGAAGGGCTGCCCGCCAACGAGGGGGCGCTGCCTAGCTGCGTCGGCGCTGCCCATGCGGAAAAAGGTAGCTCCACGGAGAACCCGTCCTGCGTGGATGCTCTCCTTTTGCGCATTCCGGAAGGCTGCATCAATTTATATATCCAACTTGCGCTCGTATTCCATGGGCGGGTAGTGCGTCCTCAGCGGGGCAGCTTGGGCCCATCTCACCAAGGAGTAGAGCTTGCGCAAGGTGCGTGAAGGCGTCTTCCTGCCGTCCGTTAGCCAATCCGCCTTCTGTCATATCCGCAAAGTCCATGGGGCGAATGAGCTCGCAGTCGACGCCGCCGAGGTTCAGGGTGGCGGCAGCGCATTGCCGGGCGCTGCCCACGTCGGCGGCGAGCGCGCCCCAGGCGAGCAAGACCTGCACCCAGTGGCGAAACGGGCACACAGACTCTCGAGCTCTCGACCGGTTGACCACGACGGCGGCCGGCGGAAAGCGGCGCCCCCCCGCCGCAGCCTCCGCCTCGCTGTCCGGCTCCTCCAAGCATCGCGCAAGCGAGCCCGCGCATAGCGATAACTGAGGGAATGACGATGCTGCCCCGGAGAACCAGGATGGACATCCTCCCCCGCGAGACTCCACCACGACGGTAGCTGCGCATGCGCCCTGGCGCTCGGACCTGCGCTGGGACGCACGCTATCTCGACGCCAGGGGCAGCCGCAGTGGCGCGGACGCCGTTTATAGATGCTGCGGGCGGTGAAAACAAGCACGTTGACCAACGGTGAACCGCTCGGGGCGCGCAGCGCGCTCGCTAGGACGTGCGCCGGCACTGTTGCGCAACCCAAGCACTGGCCCAATCACGCGGCACAACGCAAGAGACTGCGTTCCGCAGCCAGTACCAGACTATAGCGAGGTGACGAGGGGGGCGCCGCGGCGCCCCCGTGGGCGGGTGCTCACCTGCGCGTAGCCGGCAGCTGCTGATGCCCTCGCAGCCGAGCTCTCGCAGGGGCTCGCACGGTCTGGCGTCAGCCTCGTCGTGCCCGCGAGTGCCCATGGCGAATGACCCGAGGGTATGAAGAACAGCCATAAGCACAGGCTGCTCAGAGAACGAAGTGTGGTACCAACGCAAAGGGCAACGACTGCGCGTCCATTTCGCACTCTGCGCGTCTTCCGTGGATCCAGAGCTGGGATCGCTCCCAGCTCCCCTGCCAATTAGAATTGCGAGGGCTGGTGGCAACGAGAAGGCTGACATTGCCGCGGTAGAACATCTGAGCGGACTCTTTCGTTTTCATAAATGAGGCGCGCACGGGCCGGCGCTGAGGCCGCGCGGAGGGAGAGCGTCCTACTCGAGTAGAAGGAAGAGGGGGATGAGGTGGAGGTGGGGGAGGAGGAGGAGGAGGAGGAGGAGGAGGAGGAGGAGGAGGAGGAGGAGGAGGAGGAGAAAGACGAGGAAGACAGGGAGGGAGCAGGAGGAAGCAGGAGAGAGGAGGAGGAGGCGGAAGAGGAGGAGGCGGAGGGAGGACACGGAGGAGGACAATTGCAAACGAGAATTTCCTGGGGCGCACAAATGAACGAGAAAGCGATGCCAGGCTACAACATTTGAACTGGACAAACTTCCATGCGCCGCTGCAATTGCTCGCTCGGCACCCCGCCAATGGGGAGCGCATTGCACTTGCTTGGGCATACCTACAAGGCGAGGCCACAACCAAGAGCAATACGTTACACACCCCGCCCCACTTCTATCAGCCAGCGCCGTGGACCTGAGACCGCTGCAACGCCCGGCATCCCGCTGGAGGCGGGCCAGGCGGCGCTAGACACGATAGACCTCTTCCAGCCCGAGCAGAGCGCCACGTTGCGCAGCTCCCACCACGCCCTCTGGAACAGATGCTGACCGACACCTCGCCCGAGAGATCAACGTCGTCGACCCTTGCGCTGTCGCCCGCCCGCCACAGCTCGCCGATGTCCGACTGCCACTCGACGGCCACTGGCGCATCCCGGCCAGCCGCCAGCAGCGCGCAGATGACCGCTGAGATGGCGACCTCCACATTGGCCCATCGCTTGGCTGGTGGCCTGTGTTTGAGGTCCTTACATATAATAACCCGGGCCGGCCGCGCGCGGGCGCGACGCCCTGGGTTCCGACGCCAGGACTGCGGCCGCTCGGCCACCAACTGCTTGGGCAAGGCCAGCCCTGGGTCGTCCTCGCCCAGCAATAACGCCAACGCGGCGCGCTAGCCTGCGATCGCACGAGCGGCCCGCGTCTGCTGGCGCAGCGCAAGGGAAGACGCCGCAACGAAAACCTGATGCCCATGGACCAGGGCCGGATGTGCCCCGCTGCGTTTGACCACATGGGTGCACTTGCCCGGGCCGGCCTTCCTCCTCTTCCAGAAGATGCCTCTGGTCCGCCTCGCCGCGTTCTTGGCCCGCTTCTGCACCGTGCGACTGGTCGCGCATCCCCCCGCGCAGCGGCGCCGATGGCCGGTTCGACCACGCGCTCCACTGCGCGCGCAGGGGCCCCATGCTACGCTGCAGCCCCGGCCGCCAACCTTGCCACAGTAGCGCCGGAAGCGACGACGACCGACTTGCTCGAGGGGGCGAGCTTCGCATCTTGCCAATCGCGGGCGAAGATCTGAAGCACGTCGCCCATGCCGTCGGTCGCAATCTTCCTCTTTTTCTCCTCCCCCTCGGCGAGGAAGATGGACGCCGAGGCCGACCGACGGCGAGCCCGAGCTGACCGCGTGCAAGTGCGGGCAGAGGAGGAGCTCGCCAACCCGCACGCTCTGGCCACTGCCCGCAACGATGGACCGCCCCGCACTGATGGGCCCGCGAGCACAGCCATGCCGACGCAGTCGGCGCGGGGCCAACTACGCCTGGGCTTCCAAGCAATTCACCGCGGCGGGGACGGCCCCCCCCGCTCCGCCACCTCCAGCAGCAGGAGGCGGCCGATGCAATAACAGAACATGTCGAAGTCAAGCAGCGTTTCGATTGCACAGAAGTTCAAAAGTTCAGGGCCCCGGCGTCTTCGTCCAGGACGGACCTGCAGAGTGCTGCCCGCAGGGCGCTGTTGCCCTTGAGCGCTGCGCCCCATTGCTGCTCGACGGCGTCGGACCAGGCGCCCGTCGCAGTCGACCTTGCCTTGGACCAGAATTTGATGAGCAACGGCAGGATGCCGATCGTGGTTAGCACCTGCCTGGGCCAAACCAGGCCCTGCCCGATCTGCTGCAACATGCTGAGCCACTCCTGGATGGCCTTAGCAGGGAGGCGTGACAAATCAGAGTTCTGGCGGGCGTCAACGCCCATGGCCGTCTTGGGCACGATGCCCATAAGGACTGCCGAACACTCTGCACAGTGTGCGGGTCGACTTCCTCCCCCAGGGCCCGTCGAGCCGCGCGCCCGACCCAGTCCTGCAGCGTGGACTCGTCGAAGAAGGGGGCCGCCAGGCCGCGCCCCAGCTGTCCCCACACAGCCTCATCTGGCGCATGGGGCCCGCCATCGTGCCCCCTGGCAACACTGTCTCCACCGGCACTGGGTCCTCGCTCTTCAACTGTGCGTGCACCAGCCCCCGTGCCGTCTTCCACGTGGTGCGGACCCCCTTGGCTCACTGCCACCCCGCCTGGGTTTGGGCTCGCCCCACAGCTCGTGCTGCACAGCTGGCGGTTGAAATCCTGAGCTACTCCAGGCCAGCCTTGTCCAGGGCGTCGGGACCAGCCATGAGCTGCCGCCATCGGGTCACCTTCTCAACGTCGTGGTCCTTGCCGAAGCAATCGACGTCCTTGGCGACGCTTCGGCCTCGGCCCAGCCCAACCTCTTGCGCCTTCTCGAGGGTGGTGACGTGACTGCGTTCCTCCTGGACTGGGTCCGAGCAGTGGCGCGCCAGCGCGTGGGCACGCGCAGCAACGGAGGCTACTAGATCCCACCACTCTGCGACAAGGCAGGCGTAGTGGGCCAGACCCACCACCGCCTCGGTTATCTGCACCATGTGCGTAGCTCCGCCAGCGCGCGCGCCCTCTCGTGGCGCCCGCCTCGGAGCCCTGGAGCCATTCGTGGCTGATGGTTGCCTCCTCAAGCGCGGCGGCCCATCGCGAGCACCTCGGAGCAAGGGCGTCGCAGGCCGCGCTGCTGGCCCAAGGGCTGCCCGGGTCTCCTGAGCAACTGGTTGGCTCCGCACCGTCGGCCTGGGCAGCACTCCACGCCTCCGCAGTGATGGCGTAGGGCGCAGTGGTCCGTCACGAGAGCCGCCTGCAGGTCGTCCTCCAGAAACGCCTCCTCGTTCGCAGCCTCCTAGAGCTGCCCTTCCTCGTCGTCCATGGGTTGAGGTGAGCCGTACCCGGCGGAACAGGCCGATGCTCCGTCCAGGGGTTGAACCCAAAACCCTGAAACGAGGCCTGCGCGCGCAATGCCATCGAGGCAGGGTTTCGCAGTCATTGACGTAGCCGATGAGGTCGATCGGTCATCCACTGCAGCCGCCATCGCGTTACCATCAGCACGTTGCACCTGGTCGTCGCTCTCGACACAAACTGTGCGAGCCCCGTAGTCGACGCAAGCTGCGGGGACCTCAAAGTCCACGCAAGCTGCGGGGACCTCGAAGTCGACGCAAGCTTTGGGAACCTCAGCGTCGACGCAACCTGTGGGCACCCCTTCGTCGACGCAAGCTGTGGGAAACTCAGCGTCGGGCAATGAGGAGGAGGAGGAGGAGGAGGAGGAGGAGGAGGATGATGAGGAGGAGGAGAAGGAGGAAGAGGATGAGGAGGAGGAAGAGGAGGAGGAGGAGGAGGATGAGGAGGAGGAGAAAGAGGAGGAGGAGGAGGAGGAGGAGGATTAACGCCACAAGCCCGTGCTTCACGCCCGAGCAACGTCGAAAAGGAGGATGAGGAGGAGGAGGAGGTAGGGAGAAAGGAGGGCGGGAGAAAAAAGGAAGGGAGGGAGGAAAGGAGGGAGAGAGGGCCGCCGATGCCTCTGACCTGACCCCCCCCCCCTTGAGAAGCACCCCAGGCCGCCGTCCCCCGAGGCGGCGCCAGCAGTAGGCGCCAGGGGCATCCAGGCGCCGCTGCCCGGCAGCTCCAGCCTGGGCATGGCCAGAGCCCCAGGCGCTCTGTCGGTCATTGTCCTTTCTCCTCCACCTCATCCTCCTCCTCCTCCTCCTCCTCCTCCACCTCCTCCTTCCTCCACCTCCTCCTCCCTCCTCCTCCTTCTCACATCTCCTCCTCCTCCTCCTCCTCACCCTCCTCATCCTCCTCCCCGTCCTCCTCCTCCTCCTCCTCCTCCTCCTCAGCCTCCTCCTCTTTCTCCTCCTCCTCCTCCTCCTCCTCCTCCTCCTCCTCTCTCCTCCTCCTCCTCCTCCTAGCTCCTCCTGCTCCTCCTCCTCCTCCTCCTCCTTCTCCGTCCTCCCCCCCTCCTCCCCTCCTCCTCCCTCCTCCTCCTCCTCTCCTCCTCCTCCTCCTCCTCCTCATCCTCCTCCTCCTCCTCCTCCTCCTCCTCCTCCTCCTCCTCCTCCTCCTCCTCCTCCTCCTCCTCCCTCCTCCTCCTCCTCCTCCTCCCCTCCTCCTCTTATTATTATTATTATTATTATTATTATTATTATTATTATTATTATTATTATTATTAATAATCTTATTACTCGTCTTATTATTATCATTCTTGTTCTCATTATTAGAATTATTATTATTGATAATAAAAAATATTAGTATTATGATTAGTATTAGTAGTAGTATTAGTATTATTGTGATTCGTAGTATTATTATTATTATTATTATCATTATTATTAGTATTAATATTATTATTTATATTATTATTATGAGTAGTAGTAGTAGTAGTAGTAGTAGTAGTAATAGTAGTATTTGTAGTAGTATTTGTAGTAGTAGTAGTAGTAGCAGCATTATTATTATTAATAGTATTAGTAGCATTACTACTACTACTCTTCTGATTATTAGTATTACTAGTATTCTTCTTACTATTATTATTATCAGTATTATTAGTAGTGGTATTAGTAGTAGTAGTAGTAGTAGTAGTAGTAGTAGTAGTAGTAGTAGTAGTAGTAGTAGTAGTAATGACAACAATTTGGTTAGTGCTATTACTAGTATTACTCCCACCAGTATTATTAGTGGTAGTGTTTGTATTTATATTACTAATAATAGTAGTGGTATCAGTATTGTTACTACTATTATGAGTAATCGTATCACTACTATTAGTATTACTATAAAAACAATTATTATTATTATTATTATTATTATTATTATTATTATTACTATTAATAGTATTATTATTAGTATTATTGTTACTATTACTACTACTACTACTACTACTACTACTACTACTACTACTACTACTACTACTGCTGCTGCTACTACTACTACTACTACTACGACTACTACTACTATCATGATTATCATTAATCGTATTACTAGTATTCCTCCTCCTCCTGCTCCTCCTCCTCCTCCTTCTCCTCCTCCTCCTCCTCCTCCTGCTCCTGCTCCTGCTCCTACTCCTCCTCCTCCTCCTCCTCCTCCTCCTCCTTTTCCTCCTCCTCCTCCTCCTCCTCCTCCTTGCCTCTTGCCTAACTATAGGGTGGTGTCCACATTGCGGAGCCCCTATGTTATAAGTTGGAAGGGCCTCTCAGACTTTGTCACTCACAGACTGGGCTGCGATCCACCCGGCCAGTGAGCCGCGACAGGGCCCCCTCCCCAAAACTAGAACAACGCTGCTGGTGGTGGGAGCTCCATCTGGGGTTCAGGCTCGGGCCAGGCCTTGACCTCCTCCTCCTCCTCCTCCTCCTTCTCCTCCTCCCCTTCTCCTCCTCCTCCTCCCCATCCTCCCCTCCAACTCCTCCTCCCTCCTCCTCCTCCTCCTCATCCTTTCATCATCCTCCTCCTCCTCAGCCCCCCCTTGTCCCCGTGTTTCTCTCTCCTCCTCCTCCTCCTCATTCTCCTCCTCCTCCTCCTCCATCTCCTCCTCCTCCCCCTCCTCCTCCCCCTCCTCCTCCTCCTCCTCCTTCCCTCCTCCTCCTCCTCCAGGGCCTTGTCCCCGTGCTCCTCCTCATCATCATCATATTACGACTATTAGTATTAGTGTTCGTATTCTCGTTCTTCTTAATAATATGAACCGTCTTCTTCGTAATCGTATTATTTCCCAACCCTCCTGCGTTGGGCACTCGTTTTGAATAGAGCACTGTGGTCTCCACCTTCCTCCTCCCGCCTCCTCCCGCCTCCTCCTCGTCTCCTCTCTTGCTTCCCTTCTCTCCTCTCTTCGCTCCTCGTCTTCTCTCTTGCCTTTTACGTCATCTCTTTGTGGGGCTGCGATCTGTGAAACTGTCGCCACTTTCGGGGGTTGCTGGGGTGCGGAGCGGAGTGACGCCCTACGGGGACTCAGATTAGACCTCGCCATCCCTGGTGGGGCTGCGATCTGTGAAACGGTCGCCACTTTCGAGGGCTGCTGGGGGGCCCAGCGGAGTGACGCCCTACGGGGACTCAGATTAGACCTCGCCATCTCTGGGGGGGCTGCGATCTGTGAAACTGTCGCCACTTTCGGGGGCTGCTGGGGTGCCCAGCGGAGTGACGCCCTACGGGGACTCAGATTAGACCTCGCCATCCCTGGGGGCTGCGATCTGTGAAACTGTCTGCGACTTTCGGGGCTGCAGTGGCGCCCTACGGGGACCAGATTAGACCTCGCCATCTCTGGGGGGCTGCGATCTGTGAAACTGTCGCCACTTTCGAGGGCTGCTGGGGGGCCCAGCGGAGTGACGCCCTACGGGGACTCAGATTAGACCTCGCCATCCCTGGGGGGCTGCGATCTGTGAAACTGTCGCCACTTTCGAGGGCTGCTGGGGGGCCCAGCGGAGTGACGCCCTACGGGGACTCAGATTAGACCTCGCCATCCCTGGGGGGCTGCGATCTGTGAAACTGTCGCCACTTTCGAGGCTGCTGGGGGGCCAGCACAGTGGGCCCACGGGTTCAAATTAGACCTCGCCATCCCTGGGGGGCTGCGATCTGTGAAACTGTCGCCACTTTCGAGGGCTGCTGGGGGGCCCAGCAGAGTGGGTATTCGAGGGCTGCTGAGGGGCACAGCACAGTGGGTACCCACCGCAGACTCAAATTAGACCTCGCCATCCCTGGGGGGCTGCGATCTGTGAAACTGTCGCCACTTTCGAGGGCTGCTGAGGGGCACAGCACAGTGGGTACCCACCGCAGACTCAAATTAGACGCCGCTTTCGTCCTTGTTCTCCTCCTGCAGTCACCTTCCCTCTGCTGCTGCCGTGCTGATGGTTCGGCTTCCCGCACGTTTTTCTCCTGCTCTGCGCTCCCGACTCCCCATGTCCTCTTCGAGCCTGTAGCTGTCGCCCCTCGTTCTTGTATGGTTCTCCTGCGCATCATGCCATAGGCGCGTGCCCCAAGTAGCTGACACATCAAGTCGATTGTCCATGCAAGTTTCGGCCAACTCCTCGTTTCCATTGATACAAATGGGTTGGGTACGTCACAGGGTAATATGAGTAGCATACTTATTCTTATTATTATCAACATTATTATTAGCATTCGTATTTAAATCATTTCTTATTAATAAAATTATTATTGTCCGCCGGCCACCTTGTGGGGCCACCAGGCTATAGGCCGGAGGTTCGCAGTTTCCTGTACCAGTTGCAGCTTCCAGTTTCCACTGTTACAGTTATGTTTCTTGCTGCTTACTGTTCCTTGATACACTTATGCTTCTTGCTGCTTACTGTTCCTTGTGGATGGGCCGCGCAAGGGGGTGAGGCCCAAAACGGGCAGATCTACCACCCCCAAATCGTATTGTCTAAATTGCTGGTGTGAATAAAAATTGACACCCCTCACGCAGATCGATGGGGTCAGGGTCCAAAAACACACGGGATTTGCCACATGTCTGAAATCCGGTGGCGCCCCTCACGCAGATCGGTGGGGTCAGGGTCCAAAAACACATGGGATTTGCCATATGTCTGAAATCCGGTGGCGCCACTCACGCAGATCGGCGGGGTCAGGGCCCAAAAACACACAGGATTTGCCACATGTCTGACATTCGGTGACACCCCTCACGCAGATCGGCGGGATCAGGGTCCAAAAACACAAGGGATTTGCCACATGTCTGAAACTCGGTGGCACCCCTCACGCAGATCGGCGGGGTCAGGGTCCAAAAACATAAGGGATTTGCAACGTTTCTGAAATTCGGTGGTACTCCTCACGCAGATCGGCGGGATCAGGGCCCAAAAAACACATGGAATTTGCCACAGTCCTGAAATTCCATTTCTGAAATTCGGCGGCACCCCTCACGCAGATCGGCGGGTCAGGGTCCAAAAACACAAGGGATTTGCCACATGTCTGAAACTCGGTGGCACCCCTCACGCAGATCGGCGGGGTCAGGGTCCAAAAACATAAGGGATTTGCAACGTTTCTGAAATTCGGTGGTACTCCTCACGCAGATCGGCGGGATCAGGGCCCAAAAAACACATGGAATTTGCCACAGTCCTGAAATTCCATTTCTGAAATTCGGCGGCACCCCTCACGCAGATCGGCGGGTCAGGGTCCAAAAACACATAGGATTAGCATCATGTCTGACATTCGGTGGCACCCCTCACGCAGATCGGCGGGGTCAGGGTCCAAAAACAGAAAGTTTTGCCACATTTCTGAAATTCGGCGGCACCCCTCACGCAGATCGGCGGTCAGGGTCGAAAATCAAAAAGGTCCCGACACTGCTTCACGGCGAAGCCAAAGCCTCATGACTTCGCTCTTCCATGGCCTATTATCCGAGAGAGGGGGCCGGCGGCAGGGGGCGAAGCCCTTACGGATTATTACGCCTAGTTGCGTTATGTTTAGTATGATTATTACTATTGTTGTTGTTATTAACAATATTTCTATTATTATCATCATCATCATCATCATTATTATTATTAGTAGTATTATTACGATTGTGATTATTATGATTAGTACTACTATTATAATGATTAGTACTATTAGTAGCATTTCTATTAGCACTCTTAAAATTAAAAGTAATAGTGGTAGTAGTAGTAGTAGTAGTAGTTGCAGTAGTAGTAGTAGTAGTAGTAGTAGTAGTAGTAGTAGT